TCCATTTTGGTCGTCTGCGAGGCACTTGTGCGTTTGATGGTGCGTGAAGCAGGTAGTGAGGATGCGTGCGCAGGTTGTCGGCTGCGTGGTATATGCTGTAGAGGTGTTGGTTGTGCATGTAGGAGCGTGCGCAAGGTTTTTATTTTGTTTTCGCGTGGTTGTTGGATTAGGACCGAGTGTAGCTCAGTTGGTAGAGCGATTGACTGTAGTGTTCTATACTGTGTTTCAGTATTCTCGGAAATCAATTGGTCGCTGGTTCGATTCCGGCCACTCGGATTTTATCATGCCGCACGCACCTTCGGCTCTCGTTCTGTTGCCTTCTCTTTTGGCTCTGTTGGCGTCTCCGTGGTCATGCTGCCATGCCTCTTTCAGTGTAGGCCTTTCATAGACACGCCAGCTAAAGAATGTGCTCATGGCCAGACTGCTTCGCCATTGGTCTTGCTTGCCGACCGACGCGAAAGCGTTGCTGTCCCTGGCTCGGACCGCTTAACATTCCTGTGTGACTTGCACACTGCTGGATACGCACTTGGCTACTACAACGACATACCACCAGTGCTAGCGACGCCAGTCGTCATTGAAGTAGACAGATCAACCCTACTTTCGGTTTGCAATGGCAGACGTGGGACCCCGACCGCCGCCGTCCAAGAGACGTTACGGCAAGACTATGGTGTGAGTGACGGCATTGCGGTCGTATAAAGTGTCGGCAGAGCCCACAAGACGACGAGGGAGGTCTAATAAGAAATGGGTCCATTTTGGTCGTCTGCGAGCACTTGTGCGTTTGATGGTGCGTGAAGCAGGTAGTGAGGATGCGTGGGCAGGTTGTGGTTGCGTGGTATATGTTGTAGAGGTGTTGGTTGTGCATGTAGGAGCGTGCGCAAGGTTTTAATTTGTTTTTGCGTGGTTGTTGGATTAGGACCGAGTAGCTCAGTTGGTAGAGCGATTGACTGTAGTGTTCTACACTGTGTTTCAGTATTCTCGGAAATCAATTGGTCGCTGGTTCGATTCCGGCCACTCGGATTTTATCATGCCGCACGCACCTTCGTCTCTTGTTCTGTTGCCTTCTCTTTTGGCTCTGTTGGCGTCTCCGTGGTCATGCTGCCATGCCTCTTTCAGTGTATGCCTTTCATAGACACGCCAGCCAAAGAATGTGCTCATGGCCAGACTGCTTCGCCATTGGTCTTGCTTGCCGACCGACGCGAAAGCGTTGCTGTCCTTGGCTCGGACCGCTCAACATTCCTATGTAACTTGCACACTGCTGGATACGCACTTGGTTACTACAACGACATACCACCAGTGCTAGCGACGCCAGTCGTCATTGAAGTGGGACAGATCAACCCCAACTTTCGGTGTGCAATGACAGACGTTTGAACCCTGACCGCCGTCCGTCCAGGAGACGTTACGGGAAGCCTATGGTGTGAGTGACGGCATCGCGGTCGTATAAAAGTGTCGGGCAGAAGCCCACAAAGACGACGAGGGGAGGTCTTTATAAGAAATGGGTCCATTTTGGTTCGGTCTGCGAGAACTTTGTTCCTTTTAGATGGATGCTTGAAGAAAGTAGTGAAGTATGCGTGGGCCAGCTTGTTGTCTCGCTTGAAATATGTTATAAGAGGTGTTTTTGGTACATGTAGGAGCGTGCGCAAGGTTTTTATTTGTTTTTGCGTGGTTGTTGGATTAGGACCGAGTGTAGCTCAGTTGGTAGAGCGATTGACTGTAGTGTTCTATACTGTGTTTCAGTATTCTCGGAAATCAATTGGTCGCTGGTTCGGTTCCGGCCACTCGGATTTTATCATGCCGCACGCACCTTCGGCTCTCGCTCTGTTGCCTTCTCTTTTGGCTCTGTTGGCGTCTCCGTGGTCATGCTGCCATGTCTCTTTCAGTGTATGCCTTTCATAGACACGCCAGCTAAAGAATGTGCTCATGGCCAGACTGCTTCGCCATTGGTCTTGCTTGCCGACCGACGCGAAAGCGTTGCTGTCCTTGGCTCGGACCGCTCAACATTCCTGTGTGACTTGCACACTGCTGGATACGCACTTGGTTACTACATCGACATACCACCAGTGCTAGCGACGCCAGTCGTCATTGAAGTAGACAGATCAACCCTACTTTCGGTTTGCAATGGCAGACGTGGGACCCCGACCGCCGCCGTCCAAGAGACGTTACGGGAAGCCTATGGTGTGAGTGACGGCATTGCGGTCGTATAAAGTGTCGGCAGAGCCCACAAGACGACGAGGGAGGTCTAATAGGAAATGGGTCCATTTTGGTCGTCTGCGAGCACTTGTGCGTTTGATGGTGCGTGAAGCAGGTAGTGAGGATGCGTGGGCAGGTTGTGGTTGCGTGGTATATGTTGTAGAGGTGTTGGTTGTGCATGTGGGAGCGTGCGCAAGGTCTTTATTTGTTTTTGCGTGGTTGTTGGATTAGGACCGAGTGTAGCTCAGTTGGTAGAGCGATTGACTGTAGTGTTCTATACTGTGTTTCAGTATTCTCGGAAATCAATTGGTCGCTGGTTTGATTCCGGCCACTCGGATTTTATCATGCCGCACGCACCTTCGGCTCTCGTTCTGTTGCCTTCTCTTTTGGCTCTGTTGGCGTCTCCGTGGTCATGCTGCCATGCCTCTTTCAGTGTATGCTTTTCCTAGACACGCCAGCCAAAGAATGTGCTCATGGCCAGACGGCTTCGCCATTGGTCTTGCTTGCCGACCGACGCGAAAGCGTTGCTGTCCTTGGCTCGGACCGCTCAACATTTCTGTGTGACTTGCACACTGCTGGATACGCACTTGGTTACTACATCGACATACCACCAGTGCTAGCGACGCCAGTCGTCATTGAAGTAGACAGATCAACCCTACTTTCGGTTTGCAATGGCAGACGTGGGACCCCGACCGCCGCCGTCCAAGAGACGTTACGGGAAGCCTATGGTGTGAGTGACGGCATTGCGGTCGTATAAAGTGTCGGCAGAGCCCACAAGACGACGAGGGAGGTCTAATAAGAAATGGGTCCATTTTGGTCGTCTGCGAGCACTTGTGCGTTTGATGGTGCGTGAAGCAGGTAGTGAGGATGCGTGGGCAGGTTGTGGTTGCGTGGTATATGTTGTAGAGGTGTTTATTGTGCATGTAGGAGCGTGCGCAAGGTTTTTATTTGTTTTTGCGTGGTTTGTGGGATTAGGACCCGAGTGTAGCTCAATTTGTAGAGCGATAGACTGTAGTGTTCTATACTGTGTTTCAGGTATTCTCGGAAATCAATTGGGCGCTGGTTCAATTCTCGCCCACTCGGATTTTATCATGCCGCACGCACCTTCGGCTCTCGTTCTGTTGCCTTCTCTTTTGGCTCTGTTGGCGTCTCCGTGGTCATGCTGCCATGCCTCTTTCAGTGTATGCCCTTTCATAGACACGCCAGCCAAAAGAATGTGCTCATGGCCAGACTGCTTCGCCATTGGTCTTGCTTGCCGACCGACGCGAAAGCGTTGCTGTCCCTGGCTCGGACCACTCAACATTCCTGTGTGACTTGCACACTGCTGGATACGCACTTGGCTACTACAACGACATACTACCAGTGCTAGCGACGCCAGTCGTCATTGAAGTAGACAGATCAACCCTACTTTCGGTTTGCAATGGCAGACGTGGGACCCCGACCGCCGCCGTCCAAGAGACGTTACGGGAAGCCTATGGTGTGAGTGACGGCATTGCAGTCGTATAAAGTGTCGGCAGAGCCCACAAGACGGCTAGGGAGGTCTTATAAGAAATGAGTCCATTTGGGTCGTCTGCGAGCACTTGTGCGTTTGATGGTGCGTGAAGCAGGTAGTGAGGATGCGTGGGCAGGTTGTGGTTGCGTGGTATATGTTGTAGAGGTGTTGGTTGTGCATGTAGGAGCGTGCGCAAGGTTTTTATTTGTTTTTGCGTGGTTGTTGGATTAGGACCGAGTGTAGCTCAGTTGGTAGAGCGATTGACTGTAGTGTTCTATACTGTGTATCAGTATTCTCGGAAATCAATTGGTCGCTGGTTCAATTCCGGCCACTCGGATTTTATCATGCCGCACACACCTTCGGCTCTTGTTCTGTTGCCTTCTCTTTTGGCTCTGTTGGCGTCTCCGTGGTCATGCTGCCATGCCTCTTTCAGTGTATGCCTTTCATAGACACACCAGCCAAAGAATGTGCTCATGGCCAGACTGCTTCATCATTGGTCTTGCTTGCCGACCGACGCGAAAGCGTTGCTGTCCCTGGCTCGGACCGCTCAACATTCCTGTGTGACTTGCACACTGCTGGATACGCACTTGGCTACTACAACGACATACCACCAGTGCTAGCGACGCCAGTCGTCATTGAAGTAGACAGATCAACCCTACTTTCGGTTTGCAATGGCAGACGTGGGACCCCGACCGCCGTCGTCCAAGAGACGTTACGGGAAGCCTATGGTGTGAGTGACGGCATTGCGGTCGTATAAAGTGTCGGCAGAGCCCACAAGACGACGAGGGAGGTCTAATAAGAAATGGGTCCATTTTGGTCGTCTGCGAGCACTTGTGCGTTTGATGGTGCGTGAAGCAGGTAGTGAGGATGCGTGGGCAGGTTGTGGTTGCGTGGTATATGCTGTAGAGGTGTTGGTTGTGCATGTAGGAGCGTGCGCAAGGTTTTTATTTGTTTTTGCGTGGTTGTTGGATTAGGACCGAGTGTAGCTCAGTTGGTAGAGCGATTGACTGTAGTGTTCTATACTGTGTTTCAGTATTCTCGGAAATCAATTGGTCGCTGGTTCGATTCCGGCCACTCGGATTTTATCATGCCGCACACACCTTCGTCTCTTGTTCTGTTGCCTTCTCTTTTGGCTCTGTTAGCGTCTCGGTGGTCATGCTGCCATGCCTCTTTCAGTGTATGCCTTTCATAGACACGCCAGCCAAAGAATGTGCTCATGGCCGGACTGCTTCGCCATTGGTCTTGCTTGCCGACCGACGAAAGCGTTGCTGTCCCTGGCTCAGACCGCTCAACATTCCTGTGTGACTTGCACACTGCTGGATACGCACTTGGTTACTTCAACGACATACCACCAGTGCTAGCGACGCCAGTCGTCATTGAAGTAGACAGATCAACCCTACTTTCGGTTTGCAATGGCAGACGTGGGACCCCGACCGCCGCCGTCCAAGAGACGTTACGGGAAGCCTATGGTGTGAGTGACGGCATTGCGGTCGTATAAAGTGTCGGCAGAGCCCACAAGACGACGAGGGAGGTCTAATAAGAAATGGGTCCATTTTGGTCGTCTGCGAGCACTTGTGCGTTTGATGGTGCGTGAAGTAGGTAGTGAGGATGCGTGGGCAGGTTGTGGTTGCGTGGTATATGTTGTAGAGGTGTTTATTGTGCATGTAGGAGCGTGCGCAAGGTTTTTATTTGTTTTTGCGTGGTTGTTGGATTAGGACCGAGTGTAGCTCAGTTGGTAGAGCGATTGACTGTAGTGTTCTATACTGTGTTTCAGTATTCTCGGAAATCAATTGGTCGCTGGTTCGATTCCGGCCACTCGGATTTTATCATGCCGCACGCACCTTCGGCTCTCGTTCTGTTGCCTTCTCTTTTGGCTCTGTTGGCGTCTCCGTGGTCATGCTGCCATGCCTCTTTCAGTGTAGGCCTTTCATAGACACGCCAGCTAAAGAATGTGCTCATGGCCAGACTGCTTCGCCATTGGTCTTGCTTGCCGACCGACGCGAAAGCGTTGCTGTCCTTGGCTCGGACCGCTCAACATTCCTGTGTGACTTGCACACTGCTGGATACGCACTTGGCTACTACAACGACATACCACCAGTGCTAGCGACGCCAGTCGTCATTGAAGTAGACAGATCAACCCTACTTTCGGTTTGCAATGGCAGACGTGGGACCCCGACCGCCGCCGTCCAAGAGACGTTACGGGAAGCCTATGGTGTGAGTGACGGCATTGCGGTCGTATAAAGTGTCGGCAGAGCCCACAAGACGACGAGGGAGGTCTAATAAGAAATGGGTCCATTTTGGTCGTCTGCGAGCACTTGTGCGTTTGATGGTGCGTGAAGCAGGTAGTGAGGATGCGTGGGCAGGTTGTGGCTGCGTGGTATATGCTGTAGAGGTGTTGGTTGTGCATGTAGGAGCGTGCGCAAGGTTTTTATTTGTTTTTGCGTGGGTTGTTGGATTAGGACCGAGTGTAGCTCAGTTGGTAGAGCGATTGACTGTAGTGTTCTATACTGTGTTTCAGTATTCTCGGAAATCAATTGGTCGCTGGTTCGATTCCGGCCACTCGGATTTTATCATGCCGCACGCACCTTCGGCTCTCGTTCTGTTGCCTTCTCTTTTGGCTCTGTTGGCGTCTCCGTGGTCATGCTGCCATGCCTCTTTCAGTGTATGCCTTTCATAGACACGCCAGCCAAAGAATATGCTCATGGCCAGACGGCTTCGCCATTGGTCTTGCTTGCCGACCGACACGAAAGCGTTGCTGTCCGTGGCTCGGACCGCTCAACATTCCTGTGTGACTTGCACACTGCTGGATACGCACTTGGTTACTACAACGACATACCACCAGTGCTAGCGACGCCAGTCGTCATTGAAGTAGACAGATCAACCCTACTTTCGGTTTGCAATGGCAGACGTGGGACCCCGACCGCCGCCGTCCAAGAGACGTTACGGGAAGCCTATGGTGTGAGTGACGGCATTGCGGTCGTAAAAAGTGTCGGCAGAGCCCACAAGACGACGAGGGAGGTCTAATAGGAAATGGGTCCATTTTGGTCGTCTGCGAGCACCTGTGCGTTTGATGGTGCGTGAAGCAGGTAGTGAGGATGCGTGGGCAGGATGTGGTTGCGTGGTATATGTTGTAGAGGTGTTGGTTGTGCATGTGGGAGCGTGCGCAAGGTCTTTATTTGTTTTTGCGTGGTTGTTGGATTAGGACCGAGTGTAGCTCAGTTGGTAGAGCGATTGACTGTAGTGTTCTATACTGTGTTTCAGTATTCTCGGAAATCAATTGATCGCTGGTTCGATTCGGGCCACTCGGATTTTATCATGCCGCACGCACATTCGGCTCTCGGTCCTGTTGCGGTCTCTATTGGCTCTGTGGGCGTCTCCTTGGTCATGCTGCCATGCCTCTTTCAGTGTATGCCTTTCATAGACACGCCAGCCAAGGATTGTGCTCATTGCCCAGACTGCTTCGCCATTTGGCTTGCTTGCCGACCGACGCGAAAGCGTTGCTGTCCCTGGCTCGGACCGCTCAACATTCCTGTGTGACTTGCACACTGCTGGATACGCACTTGGTTACTACAGCGACATACTACCAGTGCTAGCGACGCCAGTCGTCATTGAAGTAGACAGATCGACCCTACTTTCGGTTTGCAATGGCAGACGTGGGACCCCGACCGCCGCCGTCCAAGAGACGTTACGGGAAGCCTATGGTGTGAGTGACGGCATTGCGGTCGTAAAAAGTGTCGGCAGAGCCCACAAGACGACGAGGGAGGTCTAATAAGAAATGGGTCCATTTTGGTCGTCTGCGAGCACTTGTGCGTTTGATAGTGCGTGAAGCAGGTAGTGAGGATGCGTGGGCAGGTTGTGGTTGCGTGGTATATGTTGTAGAGGTGTTGGTTGTGCATGTAGGAGCGTGCGCAAGGTTTTTATTTGTTTTTGCGTGGTTGTTGGATTAGGACCGAGTGAAGCTCCGTTGGTAGAGCGATTGACTGTAGTGTTCTATACTGTGTTTCAGTATTCTCGGAAATCAATTGGTCGCTGGTTCGATTCCGGCCACTCGGATTTTATCATGCCGCACGCACCTTCGGCTCTCGTTCTGTTGCCTTCTCTTTTGGCTCTGTTGGCGTCTCCGTGGTCATGCTGCCATGCCTCTTTCAGTGTATGTTTTTCCTAGACACGCCAGCCAAAGAATGTGCTCATGGCCAGACGGCTTCGCCATTGGTCTTGCTTGCCGACCGACACGAAAGCGTTGCTGTCCGTGGGCTCGGACCGCTCAACATTCCTGTGTGACTTGCACACTGCTGGATACGCACTTGGGTTACTACAGCGACATACCACCAGTGCTAGCGACGCCAGTCGTCATTGAAGTAGACAGATCAACCCTACTTTCGGTTTGCAATGGCAGACGTGGGACCCCGACCGCCGCCGTCCAAGAGACGTTACGGGAAGCCTATGGTGTGAGTGACGGCATTGCGGTCGTATAAAGTGTCGGCAGAGCCCACAAGACGACGAGGGAGGTCTAATAAGAAATGGTTCCATTTTGGTCGTCTGCGAGCACTTGTGCGTTTGATGGTGCGTGAAGCAGGTAGTGAGGATGCGTG